CCCCCAGATTCCCTGATTGAGAGAATGGAACTCTTCCATTCTGCCACCCAGCCCCAGCATTCTAACTGATGGGCCATGGTGGAGAAGGAACACCAACCCTTTGCCAATGTCGTGAGGACCACTGTGAACTCATGTCTCCCACAGTGGGGTGAGAGGTATGATGGGACTCCTTCCTGGGGTTAGCCTGTGGAACGCTGCCTGGGAATTGGCTTCTCAGCTATCCTCAGACTCCATTCTCAAGCAACTTCCCACAGGGACCTCCGGAGAGCTCACACTGGGGCTGGCTAGACCCATGTGGGTTCAGAGTCATTTCACCAGGATCCGGGAGTTGAAGGGGACAGTGGCTGGTGGGCACCCTCAGACCCACCTTATCCTTCTTCTCCAGGAGCCTGACATCACTGGCCATGAGCCCCATCTGTGGGAACATCTCCTTGGCCAAGGGCTTTGCTGGACCAGAAGTATCAGGATGTGCAGCCTTCCCAGGAGCCAGAAGGGTGCAGGATCCCAGGGACAGGTCCGAAAACCAGTTCTGCTGCTGTCCCACCCCATGCTGCTAAAGGCTCAGCAAGATGGAATCTGGAAATTCTTGTTTTAGGGACCCTATAGGAGGATCCTATGTCCTGGAAGCAGGGCCTCCCTCCCAGTGTCCCATAAGATTCTACCAAGAACCCTTCCGAGGCAAGCATTTGTTCTTATCCAGATTATTTTTTGTTTAAAAAAATTAGTATATTTTTATGTTACAGAAAAACGGAGCAAGTAGAGAGAATTCCTCAATACCTACCTTTGCCTTCCACACCAGGTGCCCTGTGACTATCATGCTGCATGACTGTGTAGGTCTGACAGTAAATACTATCAAGGCCAACGTCTATATTCTGGTTCAGTCTTGTACTACGTGCTCCATGGGTTTTCACAGATGCTCACAGGCTTGTATTCTATCCATCCATAGTCTCAGTAGAAGGACAACCCACTGAGTACCCCACCAAATCACAGAGCCCCATCCTGGGACTGTGACAAGCCATCTTTGATGAGCTGGCTGATCTGCATGAAAACAGCACACCCAGACACTGCTGGCAGAGTGGCTGCAAATGTGCAACCAGCAGGTATTTTTCTACCGTGGCCCAGGGGCTGGCTAGGCTCTCTTTCACACCCCTACCCGGTGGAGCGCTGGTCTAGTGCCAAGGTGGGGGGAGGTGGGCTGGTGGGGGAGTGGCTCCCTGGAGTGAGCCTGGAGCTTCAAACCTGGCTGGACCCCGGCGGTGTCACCCTGTGTTCCAGGCAGGAGCCCAGCTCCGGCGCTTTCGACTGGCAGGCTGGCCTGGTCAGTTCCAGGAGATGGAGTGGTGTCCTTGGGGCTCCCGCTTTCCCCCTCAGCATCCCACAGGGTCCCAGAGATGCATACTGTCCTCTCTCTCCCAGCTCCTGGCGCAGCCATCAGCCCAGGCGGCACCAGACTCCCTAACCATCTGCACGCGGGAAAAGAGACCTCCCTGGAAAAGAGACCACAGGCCCGGCCCTGGCTATGTAGGGGTCCCGAGCTCAGCTAGCAGAAAGGAACCCCCTCCTCCCCTCCTCCCCCTCCCCTGCCCCCTCCTCCCCCTCCCCTGCCCCCTCCTCCCCCTCCCCTGCCCCCTCCTCCCCGCCCCTCCCTCCTCCCCTTCCCTCTCCTCCCTTGCCCCCTCCTCCCCCCTCCCCTGCCCCCTCCTCCCCGCCCCTCCCTCCTCCCCTTCCCTCTCCTCCCTTGCCCCCTCCTCCCCCCTCCCCTGCCCCCTCCTCCCCCTCCCCCTCTCCCCTCCTCCCTGCCACTCCCTCCTCCCCTTCCCCCTCCTCCCCGCCCCTCCCTCCCCCCTCCCCCTCCCCCTCCTCTCCACCTCCCCTTCCCCCCTCCCCCATCCTCCCCACCTCCCCCTCCCCCTCCTCTCCACTTCCCCATCCTCCCCCTCCCCCTCCCCCCTCCCCCTCCCCTCCACCTTCCCTCTTTCCCACCTTCCCCTCCCCCTCCTCTCCACCTCCCCTCCTCCCCACCTCCCCCTCCCCTCCTCACCACTCCCCCTCTGCCTCCCCACCTCCCCCTCCCCATCCTCCCCCTCCCCTCGGCTGGCTGGGTGCGGGCGCCCAGCCTGGGTGCCTCCTCCGCGGTCGGCCCTGCGGGGGTCCAGGGCGGGGCGGGACTCTGGACTGGGACCAGCAGCTCGGTGCGGGTGCGGAGGCTGGCCCCGGGCGGGGGTGGGGGGGGGAGGGAGGAGGGAGCAGCTCGGGTGCAGAGGCTGGCCCCGGGAGGGAGGGGGGGGGAGGGGGGGCAGCTCGGGTGCGGAGGCTGGCCCCGGGCGGGGGAGTGGGGTGGGGGGGCAGCTCGGGTGCGGAGGCTGGCCCCGGGCGGGGGGGGGGAGGGGGGGGCAGCTCGGGTGCGGGAGGCTGGCCCCGGGCGGGGGTGGGGGGGGGGGAGGAGGGGGCAGCTCGGGTGCGGAGGCTGGCCCCGGGCGGGGGGGGGGAGGAGGGGGGGCAGCTCGGGTGCGGAGGCTGGCCCCGGGCGGGGGGGGGGGGGGGAGGGGGGGCAGCTCGGGTGCGGAGGCTGGGCCCGGGCGGGGGGGGGGAGGGGGGGCAGCTCGGGTGCGGAGGCTGGGCCCGGGCGGGGGGGGGGGGAGGGGGGGCAGCTCGGGTGCGGAGGCTGGCCCCGGGCGGGGGGGGGAGGAGGGGGGGCAGCTCGGGTGCGGAGGCTGGCCCCGGGCGGGGGGGGGGAGGGGGGGCAGCTCGGGTGCGGAGGCTGGCCCCGGGCGGGGGGGGGGGGAGGGGGGGCAGCTCGGGTGCGGAGGCTGGCCCCGGGCGGGGGGGGGGGAGGGGGGGCAGCTCGGGTGCGGAGGCTGGCCCCGGGCGGGGGTGGGGGGGGGGAGGAGGGGGCAGGTCGGGTGCGGAGGCTGGCCCCGGGCGGGGGGGGGGAGGAGGGGGGGCAGCTCGGGTGCGGAGGCTGGCCCCGGGCGGGGGGGGGGGAGGGGGGGCAGCTCGGGTGCGGAGGCTGGGCTCGGGCGGGGGGGGGGAGGAGGGGGGGCAGCTCGGGTGCGGAGGCTGGGCCCGGGCGGGGGGGGGGGGAGGGGGGGCAGCTCGGGTGCGGAGGCTGGCCCCGGGCGGGGGGGGGGGGGAGGGGGGGCAGCTCGGGTGCGGAGGCTGGGCCCGGGCGGGGGGGGGGAGGAGGGGGGGCAGCTCGGGTGCGGAGGCTGGCCCCGGGCGGGGGGGGGAGGAGGGGGGGCAGCTCGGGTGCGGAGGCTGGCCCCGGGCGGGGGAGTGGGGTGGGGGGGCAGCTCGGGTGCGGAGGCTGGCCCCGGGCGGGGGAGTGGGGTGGGGGGGCAGCTCGGGTGCGGAGGCTGGCCCCGGGCGGGGGGGGGGGGAGGGGGGGCAGCTCGGGTGCGGAGGCTGGCCCCGGGAGGGGGGCGGGGCAGCTCGGGTGCGGAGGCTGGCCCCGGGCGGGGGGCGGGGCAGCTCGGGTGCGGAGGCTGGCCCCGGGCGGGGGGGGGAGGAGGGGGGGCAGCTCGGGTGCGGAGGCTGGCCCCGGGCGGGGGGGGGGGGGGAGGGGGGGCAGCTCGGGTGCGGAGGCTGGCCCCGGGCGGGGGGCGGGGCAGCTCGGGTGCGGAGGCTGGCCCCGGGCGGGGGGGGGGGGGAGGGGGGGCAGCTCGGGTGCGGAGGCTGGCCCCGGGCGGGGGGGGGGAGGAGGGGGGGCAGCTCGGGTGCGGAGGCTGGCCCCGGGCGGGGGGGGGGGGGGGAGGGGGGGCAGCTCGGGTGCGGAGGCTGGCCCCGGGCGGGGGGCGGGGCAGCTCGGGTGCGGAGGCTGGCCCCGGGCGGGGGGGGGGGAGGGGGGGCAGCTCGGGTGCGGAGGCTGGCCCCGGGCGGGGGGGGGAGGAGGGGGGGCAGCTCGGGTGCGGAGGCTGGGCTCGGGCGGGGGGGCGGGGCAGCTCGGGTGCGGAGGCTGGGCCCGGGCTGGGGGGCGGGGCAGCTCGGGTGCGGAGGCTGGGCCCGGGCGGGGGGGCGGGGCAGCTCGGGTGCGGAGGCTGGGCCCGGGCGGGGGGGCGGGGCAGCTCGGGTGCGGAGGCTGGGCCCGGGCGGGGGGGCGGGGCAGCTCGGGTGCGGAGGCTGGGCCCGGGCGGGGTAGTGGGGTGGGGGGGGAGCTCGGGTGCGGAGGCTGGGCCCGGGCGGGGGGGCGGGGCAGCTCGGGTGCGGAGGCTGGGCCCGGGCGGGGTAGTGGGGTGGGGGGGGAGCTCGGGTGCGGAGGCTGGGCCCGGGCGGGGGGGCGGGGCAGGACTGCGCAGGGTCAGAGGGCGGGGCTAAGAGAGGCGCCAGGGCGGGGGCGGGGCCCGGCGCGGGGGGCGGGCCCTGGTAGCCGGCAGGGGCGGGGCTCGGCTGGGGGGAAGGGGGGTTCAGCCCGGGGGCGGGGCTCGGCCCGGGGGCGGGGCTCGGCCCGGGGGCGGGGCTCGGCTGGGGGGAAGGGGGGCTCGGCCCGGGGGCGGGGCTCGGCCCGGGGGCGGGGCTCGGCTGGGGGGAAGGGGGGCTCGGCCCGGGGGCGGGGCTCGGCCCGGGGGCGGGGCTCGGCCCGGGGGCGGGGCTTGGCTGGGGGGAAGGGGGGCTCGGCCCGGGGGCGGGGCTCGGCCCGGGGGCGGGGCTCGGCTGGGGGGAAGGGGGGTTCAGCCCGGGGGCGGGGCTCGGCCCGGGGGCGGGGCTCGGCCCGGGGGCGGGGCTCGGCCCGGGGGCGGGGCTCGGCTGGGGGGAAGGGGGGCTCGGCCCGGGGGCGGGGCTCGGCCCGGGGGCGGGGCTCGGCTGGGGGGAAGGGGGGTTCAGCCCGGGGGCGGGGCTCGGCCCGGGGGCGGGGCTCGGCCCGGGGGCGGGGCTCGGCCCGGGGGCGGGGCTCGGCCCGGGGGCGGGGCTCGGCCCGGGGGCGGGGCGGTCGTCCGGCCCGCCTCCCAGCTGAGCGGGGACCGCGGGCCCGGGACTCGCCAGCTCAGAGCTTCCAGCGGCTGAGGCGGCGGCGGCGCCGAGCGCAGTTTCGCGGCGGCTCCTGAGTCTCCGGCGGGCGGGGATGGGCGGGCGGCCGCGCGGGGATCGCGGGGAGTGCGCGACGTGACCGGCCTGCGCGCGGAGCCCGCCCGTCGGGTCCGGGACTGCTCGGCGGCCGCGGGCCGAGGGCTGAACGCGCCGGAGCATGCGGGGCGCGGTGCGGGCGCCCGGGGGCCACGCCGCCCCCGGCCAACCTCCGTCCCCGTCCCCGCCGCTGCCGCGGCTGCTGCTGCTGCTGGCGCTGCTGCGCGGCGCGGGGGCGCAGTACTCCAGCGACCGGTGCGGCTGGAAGGGGAGGTGAGTGCGCGGCGGCGGGGCCGGGGCGGCGGGGCCGGGGCGGCGGGGCGGCGGGGCCGGGGCGGCGGGGCCGGGGCGGCGGGGCCGGGGCGGCGGGGCGGCGGGGCCGGGGCGGCGGGGCGGCGGGGCCGGGGCGGCGGGGCCGGGGCGGCGGGGCGGCGGGGCCGGGGCGGCGGGGCCGGGGCGGCGGGGCGGCGGGGCGGCGGGGCCGGGGCCGGGGCGGCGGGGCCGGGGCGGCGGGGCCGGGGCCGGGGCGGCGGGGCCGGGGCGGCGGGGCGGCGGGGCGGCGGGGCGGCGGGGCCGGGGCGGCGGGGCCGGGGCGGCGGGGCCGGGGCGGCGGGGCGGCGGGGCCGGGGCGGCGGGGCCGGGGCGGCGGGGCGGCGGGGCCGGGGCCGGGGCGGCGGGGCGGCGGGGCCGGGGCGGCGGGGCGGCGGGGCCGGGGCCGGGGCGGCGGGGCGGCGGGGCCGGGGCCGGGGCGGCGGGGCCGGGGCCGGGGCGGCGGGGCGGCGGGGCCGGGGCGGCGGGGCGGCGGGGCCGGGGCGGCGGGGCGGCGGGGCCGGGGCGGCGGGGCCGGGGCGGCGGGACCGGGGCGGCGGGACCGGGGCGGCGGGACCGGGGCGGCGGGGCCGGGGCGGCGGGGCGGCGGGGCCGGGGCGGCGGGGCCGGGGCGGCGGGGCCGGGGCGGCGGGATGGCGGTCAGCCGGCCGGGGCCGGCGCCCAGGGGCCTCGCTCCCCGCCCCGGTCCCAGAACAAAAGAGCCCCGCGGCCCCTGCGCCCCGACCCGGGACGCTGGGGCCGGCACCGGCCGCCGTCCGCGTCCGCGGTGTGGGTCCGCCCGCTGCCGGCCCGGCCCGCGCCCCGCTCCCCACCCGCGAGTCTCCTCGCCCCGCGGCCGCCGAGGCCGGCGGGTGGAGGACCTCGGGGTCGCTGCCCGCGGCGGGAATCGCGCGTCCCGGCCGGCCGCGAGGAGCCGGGCCGCGCCTGACGAGACTCGGGAGGGCCGGGCTGGGGCTCGCCGGGCCCGTGCGTGGGGCGGAGGGCGCGGCTGGCGGAGAGCCCCCCGCCTGCCGTGAAGGTCAGGCCGCCCTTGGCAGCCACGCGCCCGCTCCGAGCCCCCGCCGGCCTCCGCGCAGGCAGCCAGGACTTGTGGAAGGACACAGGCGTGGACAAGGAAGGGCACGGTCACAGGCGTGGACAAGGAAGGACAGGGTCACAGGCGTGGACGTGGAAGGACACAGTCACAGGCGTGGACGTGGAAGGACACAGTCACAGGCGTGGACGTGGAAGGACACAGTCACATTGACGTGGAAGGACACGGTCACATGGACGTGGAAGGACACAGTCACAGGCGTGGACGTGGAAGGACACGGTCACATGGACGTGGAAGGATGCAGTCACATGGACGTGGAAGGACACAGTCACATGGACGTGGAAGGACGCGGTCACATGGACGTGGAAGGACGCGGTCACATGGACGTGGAAGGACGCGGTCACATGGACGTGGAAGGACACAGTCACAGGCGTGGACGTGGAAGGACACGGTCACGTGGACGTGGAAGGACGCGGTCACGTGGACGTGGAAGGACGCGGTCACGTGGACGTGGAAGACGCGGTCACGTGGACGTGGAAGGACCCAGTCACGTGGACGTGGAAGGACACAGTCACATGGACGTGGAAGGACACAGTCACAGGCGTGGACGTGGAAGGACACAGTCACATGGACGTGGAAGGACGCGGTCACGTGGACGTGGAAGGACGCGGTCACGTGGACGTGGAAGGACGCGGTCACAGGCGTGGACGTGGAAGGACACGGTCACATGGACGTGGAAGGACACAGACACGTGGACGTGGAAGGACACAGTCACGTGGACGTGGAAGGACACAGTCACGTGGACGTGGAAGGACACAGTCACAGGCGTGGACGTGGAAGGACACGGTCACATGGATGTGGAAGGACAGACACATGGACGTGGAAGGACGCGGTCACAGGCGTGGACGTGGAAGGACACGGTCACATGGACGTGGACGTGGAAGGACACGGTCACGTGGACGTGGAAGGACACGGTCACGTGGACGTGGAAGGACACGGTCACGTGGATGTGGACGTGGAAGGACACGGTCACATGGACGTGGAAGGGAGCACAAGTCACAAGTGTGCTTGGGGGGACCCTCTAGTTTGTTTACGTTACTCGGGATGGACGCCTAGCATACTGGCACTGCTGGCCCTATCCTGTGTGAAGCTAGTTTTGTGCCTTGGAAGTTGCCAGGTCTGTGGTTTTCTGAGGGTCCTGTGTGTTGATGTGTGTGTGGGTCCGCCTGCATTTGGTACAGGGTACCGTATCGGCAGGGTGCCTCTAAAGTCCAGGGTCCTGGTCTGATGGGAAGATGTGTGTGTGAAAGAGAGACAGAGACAGAGAGAGGGAGAGAGAGGGAGAAAGGGAGAGAGGGGATTTTAGTGAAGCCGGTTTTCCAAGAAGGCTGGGGATTGAGTTGATATAGTGTCCAGGCTCTAGGTCAGCAGTGCCCAGGTTTCTGAGGAAACCATAAAACCACAATCCCCCTCCCTCCCCCCTTCCTCCCCGAGACTCCTGCCAGTGGGGTTGAACGGTGAGATCGAGCCCTGGCTCCAACACTGCCATCTCCCCCAGCAGAAATCCCCCTGGCTGGCAGAGCCTGAGCTTCTGAGTGGGGTGGAGGTGGTGCTCTGGGGGAGGGCTGGTGCCTGCACAGAGCTGGCTGCCAGCCTCTGATGCCTCTGTTTGGGGACTGCCCTTCCCTTAATGGCAGTTAGCTGCCTTCTCACAGCCTCTGCTGGTGAACCAGTGCACTCCGTCCCAGGGCCTTGGAGTGCCCTGCCCTAGTGAATCAGAAACAGAAATCTAATCCTTGTCCTGTGAGCCAGAGGTTCCAGCAAGAGCTGACCTCCTTTCTGTGCTGTCAGAAGCCTGTGTGGCTGGAGGCTACCTTCCAGGAGTCTGTGCTCAGGGATGTTGGACGCTGCCCTCTATCCCCAGAAGCAGGTCAGATCCTGAAGACACCAGCAGGTGTCTTCAGTGGGAGGAGGCACGTCCCAGCCCAGGACCTGTGCAGCCTGCATCCAGTCTACCTGGATTTCACCACGCTCCTGCTCTCTTACAAACCCAGAGCTTGGCAGAGGGCAACTGCAGGGGACCTTGGAGCTTTGGGCACACGTGAGGGCATAAATAAGGCTCCCTTGTCTTGAAGCCACAAACCCACTTATCAGAATATTTCACACATCAGCTGACTTACTGAGGAGTGAGCTGGTGAGCCAGCTCCATGGTGTTTATGACTTTTTATGATCTGTTCCTGAAGCCAACACAGGGTGGAGCGAACCTCAAAATGCTGGTGGATTCTAGCCTCTTTTAGGAAGGGAGGTGCTCCGCATGGCTTTGGCCACTCACATCAGATGTGTGGATGCTTCTGGGTGTTTCCAAGAAATCAGGTGTGAGATTTTGAAATCTTGGCCTAGGGAACAGGTTCAGTGCCCCAATCTTTATTAGCTGGTGGCCATAAAGGTGGACTATGGACTTTCCACTCTATCAGCAAGAGCACAGTAGGTGTGGTCACACGTTGGCTCTCTCCGGCTAGGTGGGGACTGGAGTGGCAAACCTTGTCAGCAGAACCTTTTGGTTTCACCCTTGACAGAAAGCCTTTCTGGCCTTCATCTTGTGCTGGTGACTGGGGCTGCTGGGCTGGGGATGGGTGTGAGTCCTCACACCACTGAACCACTTCCTCATGCAGCACCAACGTGTGTGTCCACCTGGATCCAGACCATCCTGGCTAACTTTAAAGAAGTACCTTGGGCTGGGATATAGCTGAGTTGTATAGTGTTTGTCTGGTGTGTGCCAGGGCATGTTTGATCCCTTGTATATGCACACATGTGTGTACATGCATGCAAATGCAGCATTCATTTAGCTTAATCCACAATCAAATCTGCATTTTCAGTTTTATAAAGTGGACTAGAATGAGTTTTGTCTGTAGTTTTATCGACAGCGGAATGCAGTTACCTTATTTGGGGGTAGTTAGCACATCACCTGCACCTCATAAAAGATGGTAAAATCTTGCACACGACTGTTAAAGTTGTATTCCCTTTTGCAGTTGTAGCAACTGTAACAGACATTTTTTTCCGGTCTTCTGTGATTCTAGATATATCTGGGTCGAGAGATTTGGGCGCAGTAGGTGCTGCAGGGAACCAGCATGGACCATTTGTCAATGATTGGTCAGTTCCCAGGGGTTGTCTGTCAGAATAGGTCATGTGCATCACGTGCTATTGGACTTAATGCGCAAAGCTCTCCAGCCAAGTATCTAAGTCAATTCTGATGGAAGAGGAAGAACCACTGGTGCTGGGACGGGCACAGGCCCTTTCTAGATGCAAGTATAAGTTAGGTAACAGGCCTCTGTTCTTGTGGGTGTCCCTTCTTTTGTTCCTCCTGCATAAATGGAGCCTGTTGGACATCCCATGTGATGCACGTGGCTGTAGGCTCATGTGGCTATTGGGACAGCAGCCCTCAGACTAAGTTCCTTGTCCCCAGGGTCCGTTGGACTGGGTATGGGGGGAGACTGGGCTTTTCTGCTTCTCCTTCATTGTACAGGTCACGGATGCCCTCAAAAGTGTATAGAGCCTCTGATGTAGTGTCCTCAGGACCTCTGAGAGGGAGGAGAGGCCTGTGGCCGGTGCCTTATTTGGGAGAGTTGAGTCTGGGCCTAGGCTGGGTGTTAGCTGTCCCTTGATGTTGGAGGTAGGAGGAGGAGCACAACAATTAGGTTTGCTTTGGCTGCAAAAGGACAGGGCTGATTATAGCCGTGTGTGTCAGCCACTCAACATTTAGTCTAATTTTCACATAGCACTATAATCGCACCCATCCCAACATAGGTGTCAGATAAGTTTGTGTGAGTTTTATGGACTGTAATTAGTAAGCTTGCTCTGTATGTGTGGCCTGAGTAGCCAAGTTGCTGCTCATGACCCAGGGCCTTGTGAGGGTGAGGAGAGAAGGTCAGGAGGGAGTTCTCCCTCCAGGCTTCCTTCTGATGTGGTCTGTGAGGTAACTTGCAGCCCCAGCTTGCAGCCGTTCTTGTATTAAAAGTGAGATTTAGGGGCCTGGCTGAGTCACTAGCAGTAAATGCATACCATATGTTGTGCATTTTCTCCCAAGTAGAATGCGTTTCTGGGATCTCACTCAGGCTGGGCTCTGGATTTAGCCTTATTTATTTCACATAAAAATCCTAAGAATCCTTAGCATTTAAGAGTGGAATCACCTTGTTACTTTAGAAATTCCCGTCAGAAGATCTTCCTTCCTTTTGTCCTGGAAATTCTCCTTGTCCCCACCTAAGGGAGGACATTTCCTTTGTTCTCATAGTGGATCTTGTCTTAATGACATTTGAGTTTATTTAAATATTATGATTGGCAATGCAAGGACTTACAGCTTAGAAATGAATGAAAAATGGTCAGATTATCACCTTGAGGACATTAGGAATAATCCTCTCCCCATTGCTGGCCCTCCCAGGTGGTGTAGAAGCTGTTCTGTGGAGCAGTGTCATTGCTACTGGTCACCTCCTATAGCAGCCATAATGCATAGTACCCATAACATAGAGCGTCAGTAACAAGAATCCAAGCCTTTGTTTTTCTTGACCATCCTGGGAATCTGCATCATCGTTCTGCTGTTCTGCTCTTTTGGGTGGTTTGACTCTTGGAGCAGATTCATTGGAAGGGACTGACTGGGAGAGGCCATATAGCAATGAGCAGCACCATGCTGCTGTCTCCATCTTGGCTTGGGGCCTGAGCTCCTGAGGCAGGTGGCAGGCGAGTGTGAATGGTTCTTGTGGTCATTTCCCTCTCAGTCCTCCCCTGGGGAAGGCTCCATACAGGATGTCAGGAGCCTTGACTCGAGGGCTTGAGCTTACGCTGTCCCCTTTTCCCACAGTGGGCTGACCCACGAGGCGCACAGCAAGGATGTGGAGCAGGTGTATCTGCGCTGCTCGGCTGGCTCTGTGGAGTGGATGTACCCGACCGGGGCCCTCATCGTCAACCTGCGGCCCAACACCTTCTTGCCCTCCAGACCCCTCACGGTGTGCATCAAGCCCTTCAGGGACTCCTCAGGCGCCAATATTTACTTGGAAAAAACTGGAGAACTGAGATTGCTGGTACAGGACGGGGCCAGTGAGGCTGGCCAGGTGCAGTGTTTCGGCCTGCAGCAGGGCGGCCTGTTTGTGGAGGCCACACCCCAGCAGGACATTAGCAGGAGGACCACAGGCTTCCAGTATGAACTGATGAGCAGACACAGCAGCCCTGACCTGCACGCGCGCTCTGGTGAGTGGCACGGCCGTCCTCACACACACACACACACACACACACACACGCACACACGTGCACACACACGCACATGTGCACACACACACACACACACACGCTCTGGTGAGTGGCTCAGCTGTCCACACACACACACACACACACACACACACACTCTGGTGAGTGGCTCGGCCGTGCTCACACACACACACGCACACACACACACGCTCTGGTGAGTGGCTCGGCCGTCCTCACACACACACACACACACACACACACACGCTCTGGTGAGTGGCTCGGCCATCCTCACACACACACACGCACACACACACATGCACGTGTGCACACACACGCGCGCTCTGGTGAGTGGCACGGCCGTCCTCACACACATGCACACACATGCACACGTGCGCGCACACACACACACACACACACACACTCTGGTGAGTGGCTTATGAAGTGACTGCCTGGGCTCACTGTGCCTTGTGGATTTTCAGGAGCATTCCAATTGTTTCCTGCCCTCTCCTCTGCTCCCGTTGAGACACTTTCCTGTCTGTGGCTTGGCCATGCAGGTTTGCCTCTAGATCCCTGTGAGTGACCCCTCATGGGGTGGTGTGAGGTCTGTGTGTGGGTGTTGGACTTACAAATGAAACCACTTTTGAAATACAGCCTTTCCAACCAAAATCCCATTTGAAAATAACACCATATCTGATCGATGGTCTACTTTGGGCCACGCCAGCTTTAGGAACCTGTTTGTGTTGATCATCCAAAAGTATGCATGTATGTGTGGGACCAACAGTGATCCTGAGAATGGCTTAGTATCCTGGCTCCTAAGGGACTGGCTATAATTTATTTGAGGTGATGCCTTTTCCCCTTCCATCTGGCCTACACACTGGCTGTGTATTTTTGTATCTGCCACAGCCCTGAAATACTGAGTTCTGGGTAGAGACCAAGGCTGATCTACAGCCCAGAGCTGTGATATCCCTGAGTATGGGGCCAGTTACAGGTCCCAGAGGCTTTCTTTTCTTTTCTTTTCTTTCTTTTTTTTGTCGGTCATGGGGCCTGAACTCTGGGCCTGGGCGCTGTCCCTCAGCTCTTCAGCTCAAGGCGAGTGCACTACCATGTGAGCCACAGGGCCATTTCTGGCCTTTTCTGCTTATGTGGTGCTGAGGAATCGAACCCAGGGCCTCATGCATGCAAGGCATGCACTCTACCACTGAGCCACCTTCCCAGCCCCCAGGGGCTTTCTGTGGATGCACATTTGTTAGGAATCAAACTGACTTGAGGACTCAGGGAAAGCAGGTCTGCTCCTGGTCTGCGGAACAGAGGTCTGAGTCTGTATGAAGGGTTTCCCACGTGCAGGAGGGACAACAGTGCCGGGTCCTGGTGTGAACAGGTGGGCAGTGGAGAGAGACCGATGTGGTGGGGAGCCTCCCGGGAGGAGGTGGGGACCCAGGTGAGGGCCAGTTCAGAAAGCCACTCCAAGGCCGCGTGGCCGATGTAGCTTTTGATGGGACGCGTGTGGATCAAGAGATCGTGGACAGGCAGATGGGGAGTGCGTGTGTTACATGGCATCTGCGGACGGTTGCGCTATAGGAACTATGTGGGAGGACACCAGGGGTCAGCAGCCTTGGCCTTCAGCAGGGGAGGGGAGGGCCATTCCTTGTGTGACCCATCAGAGGCCGTGTTTTGTCATGTGTCAGTAGCTATGGTGGGTGGATGAGCTGGAGGAGAGGAGGTTGCCTTGCTCTGGGCACCCAGAGATAGACTCACAATAAAAACAAAATCTGGAATAATCTGAGTGCGTCATTCAGTCTCTGAAGTGAGCCTGTTAACTGTAGGCAGCAAGTGCTGCATCAGACCCTCAGAACTTGTGCGCTTTACTTGTGCTGATGGAAGTGCTCACTGATCCTACAGACTTTCTCCTGGTCATGTGCTCTATGCAGCTGAGCTCTGTTTCTGTGCAACATGACTTGTAGTAGCTCCGGGTATACTCCATTGCTTTGCACACCTGGACACTCCTGTCTGTAGGGGACATTTCTTATCGCCCAGGATGACTGGCAGAGCTGAGGGGCTCTCCTCCTCTCCTGTGCCTGTCCCTTGCCGCCTGCCCCCCCCCCAGGGGAGCTGGGGGGTCTCAGGGAAGGAATGGGCAACTGGTCTCTGTTCTGTCTGTGGGGTCTCCCACACTGCAGACCCTTCACAGGACAGCACCCCCAAGTGAGCTATGTCGAATCTGTGTTTGTTACTCGGCCATGTCTGAGCCAGGAACTCGGGTTCTCTTGTTACCTGCAGGCTTCCCCCGTAGTCCGAGAGTGCCTGAAATTGAGCCTTACATGGTTCTGAGTCCTGAGGGTGTTTGACTTTGTTTGAAGGTCACAACCAGGTGGTGACCCTCAGAACTCAGGACAGGGATCCAGGCTCAGGTGTACTACAGGACAGGGACCCAGGCTCAGGTGTACTACAGGTTTTGGGGGCTGGGCCTAGCCCTGGCATCTCTCCCACATTCCCAGGGGTCACCTTTCCTGCTGGGGGCACCGTCAGGGCCTCTTCCTACTGGTCTTGGGTCAGGGAAGCCCATAGGCTTCTCTCCCCAGGGCATTTGATGTGGGGTTGGGGGTTACTAAGCCTCTAATGCCTAAGGAATGGGTATGTAATGTGGAATGTTGGCGCCAGCCATCTGGCAGCAGGACATCGCCCTCCCCGGGCCCGGCTGGCCCCTGAGCACTCATTGTCCAGCACCAGGCTTTCCCTCATCTGTTCTGGCCATTTCAGCTGCAGGAGACTTGATAGAATCTAGAGCCCGGGAAGTACAAGCCTGTCAAGACAGTGCATGCGTGGTTGTCTTAGGTACATTGCTTTAGATGGTCCCATCTGAACTTGCAGATGAATAGGAAGTCTCTTGTGCTGTCTCAAGAGAACTGAGCTGCCATTGGCTTGAACCCAGACAACTGTGTGTGTGTGCTTGAGTGTGTTCAGGTGTGTTCCCATGAGCCTTGCTTCCCACCCTTTGAGAAGGAAACCTGCTGTTGTTCCTGATGGTCCTCCCAGAGTGCCAATTGGCATTGCATAGTCGGCTTCCAGAGACACACTGACGCCAGAAGACCAGAGCACAGGTGCAGACTGCTCCTCCAAGGACACAGACACCGGTCCCGCTGGAAGTGACCCGGTCCTGCGGAAAATAGGATTTGGCCACCAACAGAAGGTGGTGGTCAACTCTGTGCTGCCCTATTATGTCACAGCACATGAGCAGTGCAGCACCTCTGATGCTGAGAGGCAGTCAGCAGGGTGTTAGACAGCATGCACCCACCACCAGCTCCAGAAAACCAGGCCAGTAGGCTGGCCCAAGGTCAGCTGGGGTTGCCCTCCCTTTGCCCTGGGCCAGCCCCCTGGGGAAATGAGGGTGGCTGCTGGCTCCAGGAACAGGTGCAGCAGAGGTAAGCTCGGCTTCTGCTGGGCAGTGCTGTGTGTCGGCTCAGGAGCTCAGCTTCTGCTGTGCAGTGCTGTGTGTCTGCTCAGGAGCTTGACCTCTGCTGTGCAGTGCTGTGTGTTGGCTCAGGAGCTCAGCTTCTGCTGTGCAGTGCTGTGTGTTGGCTCAGGAGCTCAGCTTCTGCTGTGCAGTGCTGTGTGTCGGCTCAGGAGCTCAGCTTCTGCTGTGTGCAGTGCTGTGTGTCGGCTCAGGAGCTTAACCTCTGCTGTGCAGTGCTGTGTGTCAGCTCAGGAGCTCGGCTTCTGCTGTGCAGTGCTGTGTGTCGGCTCAGGAGCTCAGCTTCTGCTGTGCAGTGCTGTGTGTCGGCTCAGGAGCTCAGCTTCTGCTGTGTGCAGTGCTGTGTGTCGGCTCAGGAGCTCAGCTTCTGCTGTGTGCAGTGCTGTGTGTCGGCTCAGGAGCTCAGCTTCTGCTGTGCAGTGCTATGTGTCGGCTCAGGAGCTCAGCTTCTGCTGTGTGCAGTGCTGTGTGTCGGCTCAGGAGCTCAGCTTCTGCTGTGTGCAGTGCTGTGTGTCGGCTCAGGAGCTCAGCTTCTGCTGTGTGCAGTGCTGTGTGTTGGCTCAGGACCTGACTTCTGCTGTGTGCAGTGCTGTGTGTTGGCTCCAGGCCTGACTTCTACTGTGTGCTGGGGTTTGTGGCTGGCATTTTGAGAGGCTCGGCTCACTCCTAATGAAGGAGGTTGTAGTGACAGTGGCATTTCAGAGTGGCCAGAGAGGCAGGGGGCAGGAAGCCGACATTCTTTGCATTTTCATTGCCTATGCTGACTCACGGACTTACTGGGAGGGCTGGTCCTGCAGCTGCTTGCTGCCTCCCCAACCCCTTGCAAACCTGCTCTGCTTGCTGTGCCTGCGCGACCAGCCGAGCCTCTTAGACTGCTTGGCACAAGTTCTCCTTCAGGGGCTCAGAGTCCCATCGGGGTGGCCTCGGTGGCAGTGAGGGCTAGTGGCCAAGCCTCAACATAGAAAAGAAATCTCACTGTTCATTCTTCCCAAAGCCTGGTGCTTCTCTGGTCATTGAGTTCTTCCTGGTCTCGGGCTGCTTTCAGGAGGGTGCAATTATCCTGTAATTACTTTTCATTTTAAACCTTTTTTGAGGAAGCGTTGGCTTCCTTCACAGGATGCAGGTTCCAGGCAGGGGGCTGACTATCCTTGGTTTATCCTCGTGTTTTGGTGGCCATTGAAGAGCTTGGGTCTCAGATTGCTAGGCTGCCTTCCACCGCTGCCTACATCTCACCTCACTCCGGTAAAGTAGCTGCACATATCACCGGTCAGTGGCTGCCCTGGGAGCCCCATGGGGTATTGCCACGCGGAGTTTCCCTTTGGGACTTGTGTGTGTTAATCACCTGGCTGTGCTCTGCAGTGCCGCCCGGCCGCTGGCTTCCTCGGCCTGCGAGCCCTTCTGCCCCTGCTTTCTCTCCTCCTCATCCCGTCCTCTGCCCTCACTGGGTTGGCAGGTGTCTCCGGGAGGTCCCTCCGACTTGCCTTTCTCCTGGCTTGTTTCACGATATGCGCGTTCCTGAGTAATTTCTGACGTGTCTACCTGGGCATCTAGGAGATGTGATACCAGGTGTCCACAACTAGCACTCCATTGCCCTTGTGAACCCAGCTCCGTTCACGTTTCTGGAGTCCACACTGAGTTTCTGTGACATTGCATGGCACTCTGAGGCTCAGAAGAGGAACGGGCCTAGGGTGCACTTCGTTAGCTCAGCTGCCCGTGGCACCGGCACACCGAGGCCCAGAGGGCCCGCGGCCTGCTGAACACCCTTGGGGTGCGAGTGCAGGGTCTCCACACCTTCACCCAGAGTGTATGGCTCCCAGGCCTGCTGTGCCCGGGCTCCAGACCTCATGTGGGACCTGAGCCTGTCGGTTCCTTCCTTGTAGAAGGGCTATGCGACCTGACTCAGCTAACCCACAACCTGAAGTGCTTTGGGCCTGCTGTCTCCTCCCTTGTAGTGTTACCCGGCCTGCACCCCTGGATCTGCCCAGCTTGCCGCACTCGGGTGGGCCGTGGTTACTGTGAACCTCCACCCCTGGATCTGCCCAGCTTGCCGCACTCGGGTGGGCCATGGTTACTGTGAACCTAGCACCGACCTATCCTTGTGCAGCTGAGGCTGCCCACGTGCGTGGTAGACACTGAGCACCTGGCAGGTGCCAGCAGGGCAGGTGGCTCTCCCAGGTCTCATGTCCCAGCTCAAGATGCCATCCAAGGTGGAAGGCCCTGGAGCCTGCAGTGCTGCCTGCTCCGATCACCCGTGCAGTGGTCTGTGCTCTGGCTCCTGACTGACATCTGCAAGGGCCTCCAGCAATCAGGTGAACAGCCTGCCCAGAGGCCACACCTCCAGCTTAAAGGAGACCACCTCTAGCAGCCTCCCGTGACCGGCTCCCTGCATCCCTGCCCTGTGCGCCCCAAGCAGAAGTTGCAGGAAGGGGTTCTCGTGTGCTGGGACGTGGAAGGTTGGCATAACTAGGTTTCCAGGGGCTAGCTGTGGCCACACCACAGAGAGAACTGTCCGTTTGGGGGCTGTGGTGAGACTGATAGGCTGCACTGACGCCAGCAGGTTGTTCTTGTTCTGCAGCTTTTCCTTTCTCTGATAACAGCAAAGTGCTGGCAGGTGGGAAGCGGGTGAGTCAGCAAGGCTCAGGCCAGGAGTCACCGCCCTTGCTGGCTGGAGCAATACCTGAGGCGGGGGCCTGGACACACGATCCCAGGCCACCACCGTGCGCTATGGCTGCCCACGGCACTGCAACGCCAGGGCCTTGTCTCTGGTCTCCTCTGCCCCACGGATCCTGGCCACTTCAGAACCTGGAAGGCCCCCTGAGCTCTTGCTGGTGTAGGAACATGGAGGTGCCCACATGTGGGCTGAGCTGGGTCCCTCGAACCCCGTCACCAGCTGGGGAGGTGGCTGTCCAGCCCGTGAGCTGACCGGTGGGCTTCTCTGAGGGCCTGGGAGCCCTAAGGTGAGGGTGGCCCCTGCAGCGGGGACCTTGTCTCACTGACTCCACTCCCCAGAGTCTCTCTCAAGAGAGTTTGGGCCCTAAGCTAGAAACAGAAGGCAGAGGCCTTGCAATTGAAACCAGAGCAACTAGAAAATGTGTGTTTTTGTCAGATCTACTCTGGAGCACAGGGAGGCCCTGTTTCAGGAGAGGTGGAGCTGGAGTTTCTGTTCCGCATCAGGGGAGGTAGGTAAACGGCAGGGTGAGGAAGGGGCAGGGGAGGCCGTCCATCCCAGCAGGGTGTGGTGTAAGGGGCTGACTGGCAAGGGGGCTTCTTCGGAGAAGACACAAGCTTCTCTGGGTGCTATGCAGGAAGTCAGGTCTCGGGTCACAGGGGGCTCTGCGCATAGAGCTCAGTGTGAAAGGCTTTCTGAGACCAGGCAGAGCCTGGGGAAGGGGCTGAGCTGAGGCCCCGGTCCGGGGCCTGTGCCTAGTGGCAAGGAGATACCTCCAGGTTCATGACCTTCTTTGTGGACCTCCATGTTGTTGTCAGTCCTTCTAAGCAGAGCCGGAGCTAATGGACCCTCCTTTTGGGTTGTAGCCGCAGGGGCTCTGCAGGGGTGCACATTGATGCTTTTGATATCTACTCTTGAGGAAGCTGCTGGTGTTGGTGAAGTGAGTGTGGGGTCTTGGAGAGGGGGACTTGGTTGGCTGATCTAGAGACTGCGTCTTGGAGTTGGTGTTGGCTTTGGGTTGGTTTTTAGTTTGGGCCAGGCAAGTAAAAGTGACTTCTAAGTGAGTGGTGGTGTTGCCTCTCTGGCACAAGTATGCTAACAAGGTAGGTGGGAGTAGGCACAGAGCCCTCCTTTCTGAAGTCTTCCTTGTTTCTAGGGCACATGGTCACATGGCCGCAGAGCTGGCCCTTTGGGCAGGTAGGGCCAAGGGTTCCCCGGGAGTCAGTCTTTGGTGTGGCAGGGTCCCTCTGTGGTGTGCCCTTGAGCGCCGGTGGGCTGGAGCTGGCCACAGAGGTCTGACGTGTCTGTGGTGGCTGTGCGCCACGTGCAGGCCCTGGTGGCCACCTTCTGCCGTGCTGGGGCCGAGAGGGTGCGTGGCTTGTGTTGTCCAGCGATGTCCTCACTCTGTTTTCTCCTCCTTAGCTCCGTGCAGACCTTGCAGTGACACGGAGGTCCTCCTTGCTATTTGCACCAGTGACTTCGGTGAGTAGGCCTTCCTGGCCCTCCTCTCATTCTGGGGGGGAGGGAGGGCTCCATCTGCATGCAGGGTCTCCAGCCAGAGCTCTGGAGGCTTCCCTGGCTGGCACTGGCTCATGCCACTGGATGTGTGGTCCCCTCGTAATCACAGGGAAAGATGCTTTTCTGCACATCACCAGGGCAGGGAGAGCTGGAGTTGGTGTCAGCCATTCCCAAGTGTGCTTCAGTTGTGCCCAGGAGCTGTCGGTCAGAGTCCTCTTAGTAGTATTCTGTGAATGGCGTCCTGTGGGCCTCCCGTGCTGGTCAGAGCCTGGCCCCACCCTTCTGCAGTCGCCAGGCAGCTGCGGGACACAGGCCCCTTGCCTGCCACGTGGGTACCAGCCTGGGACAGGCAGGGTAGTGCTCGCTGTCCTGCTGGGGTGGTGGCCGTGCTCAGCTGGACCTGCTGTCCCTGGGCCAGCTCCAGAGCCCGGGCAGAAGAAGGCTTCTTGCTGTTCTGCTCTCCATGCCTGTCTGGGCTCAGGAGCCGGGCAGGGGCCTCGCAGTAAAGCCCTGCTGTAGACCCTACCCTGCCCCCTCCCTTCCTGTAACCTTGTCTTGGGAGATGCACTGTGTCATTTGACAGGACACGGAGCTGCCGAGTCTTGTGAACCACTGTGTGTGTTTTCTTGTTCTTATCAGCAGCCTAGATATGCAGCATGACTCAAGCCATGGCCCTGATGGAGAGTTGTCTCTGGTACCTGATGGTACCGGCATCAGGACAGCGGATTCTCCCTGCGTCCTATCCCCCAGGACTGGAGTTTAAACTCAGGGCCTTACGCTTACTTGGCTGGCACTCTGTCATTCGAGCTACACCTGCAGCCCAGTGTTTTTGGAGATGAAATCTCATGGGCCTTTCTGCCCTGCTAGCTTCAAATGGTGATCCCCTGGATCTCAGTCTCCTGAGTAGCAAGGATCCAGGGTATGAGCTGCTAGCACCCAACAGCGTTAGCAGAGTTCAGGTGCAGCTCCTGGTTTCTGAGGCCTGTGGTGGCCCCAGGATGTGTGCAGAGCCATGAGCCTCCATGACTAGCCCTGCCCAGGGGACCTGCTGACCTGTCTCTCCTTCCTCCACAGTGGTCCGTGGCTCTATCCAGGATGTCACCCACGTGCCAGAGCACCAGGAGTCCATCATCCACCTGAAGGTGAACAGACTCCACCGGCAGAAGAGCAGGGTTTTCCAGCCAGCTCCCGAGGGCAGTGGCCCCTGGCAGGGCCTGGTCACAACACTGCTGGAATGTGGTGTGCGGCCAGGGCCCGGAGACTTCCTCTTTACTGGCCACGTGCACTTTGGAGAGGCCCGGCTTGGCTGTGCCCCGCGCTTCAGTGACTTCCAAAGGATGTACAGGGACGCAAAGGCGCAGGGGCTGAACCCCTGCGAGATCAGCACAGCGTGACTGCAGGGAGCCCTCTCCTCACGTGCCATCGCGCGAATCCTGGTGTGGGCCGCAGGCTGGCGCCGAAGGCCAGGGGCTCAGCCTGGCCCAGTTCTCAAGCCTCGGAGGTACAGGCTGCCCTGACCCCAGGAGGGCCCAGCCACGGGTGCCCTGACCGATGTGGAAATGCTGTGAAGTGCAAACTAAGTTATTATATTTTTTTGTAAAAAAGAAATGTGCATAGGAAACAAACGTGTGTTGAAGATGCCTTGGCGGCCACTTCCTGCACTTTCAAACCGTTTGGTGTGGGTGTCACTGGGGGTGGGCCAGTGCCGGCGATGGTCACCAGGCTTTGTGGAAGCCTGGGTGCCCTCCAACGCCGTGACAGGGGGAACACATTTTTTCTCTCATTTGGTTTTGCTCTTAAGGAATGAGCTTTGCAGCTGTGTCCTCCTGGGCTGCAGGCAGGTTCTCTTGCAGAGAATAAAGGTCAGGTTCTGCCCACACCCAGTGTCTGCGTCCACCCACCAGCCAGGCGTCCGTCAGGCCGGCCCTTGCCTGGCACAGGCGGGCATGTGGGCTGGCGGCTGTGTGAGCACTTCCCTCTGTGTTGACCCCGTCCTGACCCAGCTGCCCCAAAGCATGCAAGCCCACAGCAAGTCTCTGGACACCGAGTTCCTGGGTCGGGCTAGGGTCAGTGTCCTTCGTGTCCTCAGAGAGTTACTTTTTCACAAACTAGGGTTTAAACTGCAGACCTTTATTGTACCATCTGGAGTCCCAGGTCCAGTCAGGGTGAGGGCAGGAATGGAGGGGTTCCTTAGCCCTGAGGGTGGATTCAGGCGTCTTCGGCTCTTGGCCACCTCCTCCAGTCTTGGCCTCCCTCTCACACGGCTTCCGCCCTGTGTGCATCTGTTTCCCAAATTTCCCTCTTACGAGATCACAAGAATTGGATTTAGGGGTGACCTCCCAATTGATGTGATTACCTCTGCCAGGACCTCATTTCCAACTAAGACAGGTGGACATGAAACTTGGTGGGGAGAATTTTCACGAAGCCAGTGTAGGGGGTTGGGCAGCAGGGAGTGGGCAACCAAACTCCCAAACCTTGCTTCTCCCTATGAATCAGGTGTTTCTTCTTGTGCAGCAGCTGAAGCAAAGGGGACTCTAGGAGAGGCCAGGGCAGCCAGGGAGCCATTTGGACTCACTGAGGACCTGGTTACACTGGGTGGTCTGAGTAGAAGCTGCACTGGCTCAGGTGTGTGCTGGCTCAGGTGTGAGCTGGCTCAGGTGTGAGCTGGCTCAGGTGTGAGCTGGCTCAGCGGTGTACTGGCTCAGGTGTGAGCTGGCTCAGGTGGCAGCTGGCTCAGCAGTGTGTTGGCTCAGGTGTGAGCTGGCTCAGGTGTGTGCTGGCTCAGGTGTGAGCTGGCTCAGGTGTGAGCTGGTTCAGGTGTGAGCTGGCTCAGGTGTGAGCTGGCTCAGGTGTGAGCTGGTTCAGGTGTGAGCTGGCTCAGGTGTGTGCTGGCTCAGGTGTGTGCTGGCTCAGGTGTGAGCTGGCTCAGGTGTGTGCTGGCTCAGGTGTGAGCTGGCTCAGGTATGTGCTGGCTCAGGCACACACCAGCTCAGCGGTGTGCTGGCTCAGGTGTGTGCTGGTGCTGGTGCAGGCGCAGGAACTGGCATGGTCACAAGCAGCAGTTTTCGTGGGCAAGGACATGAGGCCTGTGTGGTGGGCCAGGCCCCGCTGTGGCTGGTGGTGCCGTACCGAGGTCACAGCACTGAGGCGCCAAGCCCATGGCCGGAGAGAGCTGGATCCTGTTCCCACCTCCTGGGCTCAAGGAAGCTGTAGAACAGGAGTGGCCGGTGTGGTAGCCTCAGGCCTTCCGTCATCAGTTAAGATTGGCCTTGAGATTCAGGTGAATTGGCCGAAACCCCTTGGCAGGCCTCAGCTTTTAGACGAGTGCTTAGGAGTTGGGACTTCCTGTACAGGACCCATGAGAAGTGTTCTCGGAGTGGCCAGGCCTGTGTGCAGTGTCCTGACTGACCGCAGAACCCTGCTGTCTGTCATTTCCCTGGGCCCCTTCCCACTGCCAGACAGAAAATGGTGCCCTCCCATCCACGTTCTTCTGTGGGAACGCTCCCCGGAGAAGAGGCCAGCAGGTCCTTCAATAGACCCACGGTGGTCTCTGCGGCACAGCCCCTGTGGGCCACGTCAGTGGGGACCCCAGGCGGCCGGCCACAGCCTGCACCACGCCCTGGCCCCATGGCAGCCTTGTGAGCCCAGCTATCCAGACCCCGCCTCCCCCGTCAGAGCAGCAGGCACCCTCCCACCCCAGACCCCCCACCCCAGACCCCCTCTGCCTGTCCTCACCCCTGCGCCTCCCCCGTCAGAGCAGCAGGCCCCCTCCCACCCCAGACCCCCCACCCCAGACCCCCTCTGCCTGTCCTCACCCCTGCGCCTCCCCCGTCAGAGCAGCAGGCCCCCTCCCACCCTACCCCTCCACCCCAGACCCCCTCTGCCTGTCCTCACCCCTGCGCCTCCCCCGTCAGAGCAGCAGGCCCCCTCCCACCCCAGACCCCCCACCCCAGACCCCCTCTGCCTGTCCTCACCCCTGCGCCTCCCCCGTCAGAGCAGCAGGCCCCCTCCCACCCTACCCCTCCACCCCAGACCCCCTCTGCCTGTCCTCACCCCTGCGCCTCCCCCGTCAGAGCAGCAGGCCCCCTCCCACCCCACCCCTCCACCCCAGACCCCCTCTGCCTGTCCTCACCCCTGCGCCTCCCCCATCAGAGCAGCAGGCCCCCTCCCACCCCACCCCTCCACCCCAGACCCCCTCTGCCTGTCCTCATCCCTGCACTGTCCCCCTGTGCTGACCTCACCTCTGCACTGTCCTGTGCTGACCTCACCCCTGCACTGTCCTGTGCTGACCTCACCCCTGCGCTGTCCTGTGCTGACCTCACCCCTGCGCTGTCCTGTGCTGACCTCACCCCTGCGCTGTCCTGTGCTGACCTCACCCCTGCGCTGTCCAGTGCTGACCTCACCCCTGCGCTGTCCTGTGCTGACCTCACCCCTGCGCTGTCCTGTGCTGACCTCACCCCTGCGCTGTCCTGTGCTGACCTCACCCCTGCGCTGTCCTGTGCTGACCTCACCCCTGCGCTGTCCTGTGCTGACCTCACCCCTGCGCTGTCCTGTGCTGACCTCACCCCTGCGCTGTCCTGTGCTGACCTCACCCCTGCACTGTCTCCCTGTGCTGACCTCACCCCTGCGCTGTCCTGTGCTGACCTCACCCCTGCGCTGTCCTGTGCTGACCTCACCCCTGCACTGTCTCCCTGTGCTGACCTCACCCCTGCACTGTCCTGTGCTGACCTCACCCCTGCACTGTCCCCCTGTGCTGACCTCACCCCTGCGCTGTCCTGTGCTGACCTCACCCCTGCGCTGTCCTGTGCTGACCTCACCCCTGCGCTGTCCTGTGCTGACCTCACCCCTGCGCTGTCCTGTGCTGACCTCACCCCTGCGCTGTCCTGTGCTGACCTCACCCCTGCACTGTCCTGTGCTGATCTCACCCCTGCACTGTCCTCCTGTGCTGACCTCACCCCTGCACTGTCCTGTGCTGACCTCACCCCTGCACTGTCTCCCTGTGCTGACCTCACCCCTGCACTGTCCTGTGCTGACCTCACCCCTGCGCTGTCCTGTGCTGACCTCACCCCTGCACTGTCCCCCTGTGCTGACCTCACCCCTGCGCTGTCCTGTGCTGACCTCACCCCTGCGCTGTCCTGTGCTGACCTCACCCCTGCGCTGTCCTGTGCTGACCTCACCCCTGCGCTGTCCTGTGCTGACCTCACCCCTGCGCTGTCCTGTGCTGACCTCACCCCTGCGCTGTCCTCCTGTGCTGACCTCACCCCTGCACTGTCCTGTGCTGACCTCACCCCTGCACTGTCCTGTGCTGACCTCACCCCTGCGCTGTCCTCCTGTGCTGACCTCACCCCTGCGCTGTCCTGTGCTGACCTCACCCCTGCGCTGTCCTGTGCTGACCTCACCCCTGCGCTGTCCTGTTCTGACCTCACCCCTGCGCTGTCCTGTGCTGACCTCACCCCTGCGCTGTCCTGTGCTGACTTCACCCCTGCACTGTCCCCCTGTGCTGACCTCACCCCTGCGCTGTCCTGTGCTGACCTCACCCCTGCGCTGTCCTGTGCTGACCTCACCCCTGCGCTGTCCTGTGCTGACCTCACCCCTGCGCTGTCCTGTGCTGACCTCACCCCTGCGCTGTCCTGTGCTGACCTCACCCCTGCGCTGTCCTGTGCTGACCTCACCCCTGCGCTGTCCTGTGCTGACCCCACCCCTGCGCTGTCCTGTGCTGACCCCACCCCTGCGCTGTCCTGTGCTGACCCCACCCCTGCGCTGTCCTGTGCTGACCCCACCCCTGCGCTGTCCTGTGCTGACCTCACCCCTGCGCTGTCCTCCTGTGCTGACCTCACCCCTGCGCTGTCCTGTGCTGACCTCACCCCTGCGCTGTCCTGTGCTGACCTCACCCCTGCGCTGTCCTCCTGTGCTGACCTCACCCCTGCGCTGTCCTGTGCTGACCTCACCCCTGCGCTGTCCTGTGCTGACCTCACCCCTGCGCTGTCCTCCTGTGCTGACCTCACCCCTGCGCTGTCCTGTGCTGACCTCACCCCTGCGCTGTCCTGTGCTGACCTCACCCCTGCGCTGTCCTGTGCTGACCTCACCCCTGCGCTGTCCTCCTGTGCTGACCTCACCCCTGCGCTGTCCTGTGCTGACCTCACCCCTGCGCTGTCCTGTGCTGACCTCACCCCTGCGCTGTCCTGTGCTGACCTCACCCCTGCGCTGTCCTGTGCTGACCTCACCCCTGCGCTGTCCTGTGCTGACCTCACCCCTGCGCTGTCCTCCTGTGCTGACCTCACCCCTGCGCTGTCCTGTGCTGACCTCACCCCTGCGCTGTCCTGTGCTGACCTCACCCCTGCGCTGTCCTGTGCTGACCTCACCCCTGCGCTGTCCTGTGCTGACCTCACCCCTGCGCTGTCCTGTGCTGACCTCACCCCTGCACTGTCCCCTATCCTGTCTGTGTGCTCCTTCCCTGTCCCCCGGCCCCCTTCCCCCCTTTTCCTTTGTCGTGCTGTAGGATGCAGGGTTTTCCTGTTCTTTCCTCTCTTCTTTGCTAAGCTGGTGGACCAGAGCTCACCGTTGCTTATATCTCCTTGGCCTGTGTTTTCCATGTTTCCTGGCTCCCAGGCCATGTTCCCACACAAGTCCCTGCTGGACCCCTGCCTGGCCTCCTCCTGGCCCAGTCCACACACACACACACACACATACACTACACACACACACTACACACACACTACACACACACATACACTACACACACATATACACACACTACACACACACACATACACACACACCACACACACATACACTACACACACATACACATACACACACTACACACATACACCACACACACATACACTACACACAACACATATACACACACATACACACACACACACCACACACATACACTACACACAACACATACACACACACTACACACACCACACACACACCACACACACACCACACACACTACACACATACTACACACAACACATACACTACACACACACATACACTACACACACACATACACTACACACACATATACACACACTACACACACACTACACACACACATATACTACACACACATACACATACACTACACACATACACATACACACACACACCACACACACATACACTACACACACATACACATACACACACTACACACATACACATACACACCACACACACATACACTACACACAACACATATACACACACATACACACACACACCACACACACATACACTATACACAACACATATACACACACACACTACACACACCACACACACACCATACACACACCACACACACTACACACATACACACTACACACAACACATACACTACACACACACTACATACACCACACACATACACACATACACTACACACAACACACTACACACAAAACACTACACACACTACACATACACACACTACATACAACATACATACACTACACACATACACACTACACACACAGACTACACACTACACACACTACACATACACACACTACATACAACATACATACACTACACACATACTACACACACAGACTACACACAACACACATACACACCGCACACACAACACAATACACACACTACATATACCACACACACATGCGCACACACTACACACAACACACATACATGCCACACACACCATACATACACAACACACACTACACATACACTACACACTACACACACACTACACACCACACACTACACACACACATACACATACACTACACACACCACACACACACACTACATACACACCAACACACTACAACACTACATATACACACAACACACACAATAAACACACTACACACTACACACATGCACACACACATAATAAACACATTACACACACTACAGACTACACACACAACACGCACACACATGCGCACACACACACGCACACGACACACATGCACACACGACACACACGCATGCACACACACAGTACACACACATACACACGACACACACACACACACATCCCTCCCCTCCCCTCTGAGGTCAGTGATGCTGGTGGGAAGCCCCGCTTATCCAGAGCAGGGGTTGGCTGAGCCTCGCTGGGACCCTGGGGCTGCGCTGTTGAACAGTCACACCCTCATCTCACTCGGTAGGCCAGTGGAACCCCTGCCACAGATGGGGATGTGGGGACATGTGGATCCCGCTGGCTGCGTGCCCGAGAGGCGCAGGCCGCCAGGGTGCAGTGAGCCGCGGTGGCCCTCCTCTCCTCTCCACAGGCAGAGGCGCAGGCCGCCAGGGTGCAGTGAGCCGCGGTGGCCCTCCTCTCCACAGGCAGAGGCGCAGGCCGCCAGGGTGCAGTGAGCCGCGGTGCCTCTCCTCTCCACAGGCAGAGGCGCAGGCCGCCAGGGTGCAGTGAGCCGCGGTGGCTCTCCTCTCCACAGGCAGAGGCGCAGGCCGCCAGGGTGCAGTGAGCCGCGGTGGCCCTCCTCTCCTCTCCACAGGCAGAGGCGCAGGCCGCCAGGGTGCCGTGAGCCGCGGTGCCTCTCCTCTCCTCTGCACAGGCAGAGGCGCAGGCCGCCAGGGTGCAGTGAGCCGCGGTGGCTCTCCTCTCCACAGGCAGAGGCGCAGGCCGCCAGGGTGCAGTGAGCCGCGGTGCCTCTCCTCTCCACAGGCAGAGGCGCAGGCCGCCAGGGTGCAGTGAGCCGCGGTGGCCCTCCTCTCCTCTCCACAGGCAGAGGCGCAGGCCGCCAGGGTGCAGTGAGCCGCGGCGGCCCTCCTCTCCACAGGCAGAGGCGCAGGCCGCCAGGGTGCAGTGAGCCGCGGCGGCCCTCCTCTCCACAGGCAGAGGCGCAGGCCGCCAGGGTGCAGTGAGCCGCGGTGGCTCTCCTCTCCACAGGCAGAGGCGCAGGCCGCCAGGGTGCAGTGAGCCGCGGTGCCTCTCCTCTCCACAGGCAGAGGCGCAGGCCGCCAGGGTGCAGTGAGCCGCGGTGGCCCTCCTCTCCCCTCCCCTCCCCTCCCCTCCCCTCTCCTCGGCAGCCAGGTGACTCAGGCTCCAGCAAGCCCCTTGTCATGGTGCAAGGCTCACTTCCTGCCTTAGGAGGCCTTCCAGAGACTGGGGGACCGGTGACCACTGCCTGTCCCTGCCTGAGGTCTGCTAGGACCAGGGAACTTCGGCTATTTCATGTGGAAGGTCCCGGTCCAGGCCTCTGGTCCACAAGCGAGACCTAGGAGCAAAAGCCCCACTAGGACAGGTGCCAGTCCCAGCAGGCTGAGGACCGCCCCTCCTGCCCGAGTAGGTGCCGCGGTGTGGCTCTCAACATCTGAAGCCGGCAGGGCCAGAGGTGCGGTCCTTTGATCCATCAGTAGCAGGTGCCACTGGTGCTACCACCTCCCTTAGAGATGCCGGCACACAGCCTTCTGGAAGCTTCCACAGCCCTCTGGGTGGCTCAGAGCCTGTAGTGAAGCCCTGCTTCTGTCCTTCCCCTTCCTTCTGCCAGAACTGAGCTGGCTTTAAATCCTGGCTTGTCCAGACATGTGTGCTGTAACCATCTCTGGCACGGGAGACTAGGTTGTCTCTGGTTTACAGCCCCTGGGTCCTGCTACTAGAAGTTTCTGAGAGCTTCCTGGTCAGCGCAGTGTCCATCTCTGGTCTGAATCTGGCACACGGTATGTTTGGTCCTAATGTCCTACCCTGACCCCGGGAGTCCAAGATGCACTGCCCTACCGGGCAAAGGGGAATTATGGTTACTCCCGTGTGGGAGATAGTTCTGGATCTTCTGGTGGCTCAGAGTAGTCACAGACCCTGCAGAGTACAAGAGGAAGACAGGAGAGACGCCAGGTTTAGAGGGCTCGTTGGAAGGAGCCATGAGCCCAGGAGTGTTGGCACCTGGAAGCCAGCGAGGCAGACCTGGGCCGCCTGGGGGGGCCGGCAAGGCCAGCTTCATGGCCTTGATTTCAGGCGGTGAACACGGTCAGGTCAGACTTCTGACTTCAGTAATGGACAATGGCATATCCGCACTGTTAGGGCCCCAGGTTAATGGCGACGGGCTACAGCAGCCCCGGGACAGCTGGATTAATGCTTTGCATGTCTGCAGAAGAGGCTCAGAATCTCAACGTGGACCATGATCCCCTACAGACGGTACCACTGGGCTTTCTCCATGGTTTGTACCCCTGTTCATCATCCAGTGTACCTGTGTGTGTGGGGGGCAGGTCATTGGGGTCAGGTCTCAGCCAGGTCGCTGGGGTCACAGGGAGAGTCCCTGCTCACCTCCTCCTCCAGATGGTGCGGTGAGGCCCTCTCCTCCTGAATCTCCGGTAGGCAAGCCTCCTCAGCCGAGAGCACTGTCTGTGGAAGGAAAGCTGGCTGCAGAGCATCCAGTGGGCCACAGCCAGGTGCCCACACCTACCCCGGATCACGGCATCCTGGGCCGACTTGCCAGGGCGGGAGATGAGCGGTGGTCCCACGGGTGGGGGCAGGGCGGTCTCATTAGGGCTGCAGCTGCCACCGAAGCTGCCACCCTGCGAATTGATTAAACTGTTTAACGCCGGCCACCGTGGTGGGACCAGTGCCCAGCCAGGCCGCTCACTTCCCTTCGGAGCAGCTTCTGGGAGGACAGTGCCCCAGAGCCTGTCGGTGGGGTGGGGGTGTCCAGGCCTGGCCTGGCCTGGGTGAGCGCCGCCCCCATGCCCCCGTGCCCCGCCCCATCTCTGCTGCTCTGTGGTGGTAATGTCCCTAGACGGGGCTTATGGCACCTGGGCCTGCTAAGGCCCACAGTGCCCGCACCTCGCAGGTGTGTTACGGTGACAGCCTGCTCCACAGCACACACATGTCATCATGGTGCTGATAAGGACAGGGTTGTTTCAGGAAGGCTGCAGGAGCCGGGTCCTTGGTGTGTTTCTTCTCGTGTGTGTGTGTGTGCACATTGTGCGCGTGGGTGTGTGTGTGCGTGCACAGATGGGAGGCGGGAGCTTGAGCTTGGGGTCTCTCTTTTGCTTGTCCTTTTCCACTCCAAGCTGGTGCTCTATCACTTGAGCCACACCTCCGTCTCTGGCTTTTTGCTGGTTAATTGGAGGTGAGTCTCAAAGTTTCTGCTTCGCCTGGCCTTGAACTGGGGTCCTCAGATCTCAGCCTCCTGAGTGGCTGGTGCTTGGTTGGGCTGCTGCTTTGTGTCAGGGGAAGTCTGCCAGCGAAAGGCAGGAGGAATCAACACCCCTCCTTCTTGAAAGAGTCCGGGGAGTCTTTCCTGGGATTCTCTGCTTGTGTTTCTAGTGACTCTCTCTTCTGTGAGGACCCTTGAGCCCCCTTCTCCCCACCGGCCTCCTCACCCAGCAGCTAAGCTGGGATGGAGGTCTGCAGGCTTGGAGCCCCAAGATGGAGCAGGACTCCGAGGGCCTTGACACCTAGGGCAGGGTGCACACGGTGCTCACTGAGTGCCGGGACGGGGGGGGGGGGTGCACACGGTGCTCACTGAGTGCAGGGCGGAGGGGGTGCACACGGTG